TGTGTCAAGGTAAACAGCTTATTGTAAAACTATAGGGAGCAGAAACTTGTTCTTGGTGATTCATCAGGCTATGCCTGTAAAGTGGTCAGGAAGATTCTTGGATGCTAGAACGAGACCACCCCTATCATTACACTGCTTGGGATGGGCCCCACCATGGTGTTGACCCAGATCAACCAGCAGTTTTTGCAAATAACTGCCTGGCACGGCTCTGGGTCAGCCCCCTCCTCTTTGCAGGTGGCCCTGCACCTCGCAAGGTGAGGTTTCCGCAGTGCAGACCCCGGCTGTGCAGCCCCCAGCCCCTCCGCACCCAGGAGCATCTCATGCAGCATCTGTATGGGTAAGTGCAGCCTCGGAGCCCCCACCGAGGCCCTCAGCCTGCACCCCCGGGGTTCGTGGGAGCAGCTTTGCACCTAAATGCTTGCTCCTCTGCGTTCTGGACTGCGCTGAGCTGTGTATGAAATCTGAAGAGGCGTCTGTCTCCTTGGACAGAGAGAGGCACTGCAGTTTGGTGTTGCTGCAAGCCCCCTGCAGTTACTGCCTGACTGGGCAGAGTGGCTTCACGCCTCCCTTAGGGCTGCAAATCCATTGCTGCGCTCTACTGGCATTTATGGGGTAAAATCCACACATATCATACAATCACAGAATCGTCAAGGTTGGAAAAGACCCTTAAGATCATCGAGTCCAACCGTTAAATATGTACAGATGTTATGTTAAATATGTACAGATAGATTTGTTACCTAATTAGATAAATATAGGAAATACATTGGGGCCTCCAGCTTTCTGCTGGCTAGCTCATTTTTGGTCAACCCCACAGTCTCACCTGAGCTGGAAGGGTAGGAGGCCGCTAAACCCTCCATGGAGAGCTTTCATCATCCCTTGCCTCAGCCTCATACCAGGAGACTGGAAAACCCAACGCCCCCTCCAGGCTCATCTGCAAGAGCCAGCCACCAACAAAGCCAGTTTAACACCTAGTTTTTCACCAGTGGCTCACTGGGGTTTTGATCTGCAAAATGCATGATTGGGCTCAGGGGATTTCTGAAGTGCTGACCTGAACTCACCAAACGCTGCTGCGTGCCGTCACCCCAGAGGGAGTGGAATTCCCACCATCTCTGTGCCCTCCGTGGGGGCAGATTTTTCAATGGTACAACAAGCGGGAAGCTTTTCCTGGATTTCTTCGTTGTGCAGTTCAGATCTCTCTTTGGGTGTATTTCTCCATGGAGGCCCAGGACGCTTGCATGGAATGACACTCACAGTCGTGGTGGTTATTCAAGCCCACTTCTCGCTGTCCATTAACGCCACAAAGAGATTAGAGCTGTGTGGGCACCTGACCACATTTCCCTGCAACACTCACTCCCTTGCAGGGCCCTTACAATTAGGTTTAGCAACGCCAACGCGCTACCCTGTCGGTTGTTGGAGCCCAGCTAAGGGGCAGAAAGAGGCTGAAGCAGCCTGTTGTGGCCCTTAGCTTCCATTTGTACCTAAGCACCCCTGCCCCGCCTCAAAGACAGATTCATATAAAAACGGGTTTCTGTCTCGACAGGAAGGCACCAAGCCTCTGTTCTGTAATAGCTCCATTTCTTAAATAATTCCGTATTTGTTCAGTTTAATGTCAGTGTTCCATCAGCAAAAGGACTGTTTAGTGTTACTGTAATTATTTACACAATTTCTATGTATTTATTTTGGTAAGATCCACCTGCTGGATTCCTAGGGGTTTACGAGCTGCTACAAAATGAAGTTTGAAACAGACACCTACAGGAAACAGCACGTGGCTTGTCTCAACTTCTCCAGCTACTCTGCTAACCTCACTGAATACCCATCTAGTCAAGAATAAAAGAATGTATTTCCTTATAAATCCACAGATAATTAGATATTAAACAATTAATCCTTTCCCATGACTAACTTTGAAACAGAGGTACAGAACTCAATTCCTTTTGGGGGAAGTTGTGCTCAACAGTCTCTTTACAGATCCAAGTGGTTGTGGACGCGCCTGAACATGTGAAAGCCAGAGAGACACAAGAACTTCTTGGCATCTTGGGAGGTGAGAGATATCACTGGCATCGGCGGTGTTTGCGTAAAGATTGTCAGGACTGGGAGCCAAAGTCATCATTTTGGCTTCTGGTATCTGTGCAGACCGATGGGACCCAAGGCCCCGTGGCAGTGGTTTTCAGGTAGAATAAAAGAGGTGCCTTCTTGAAGACTTGAGGCCAGTTCTTACTCTGAAAAGGACAAATCAAAACAACTGGAGGAAAAGTCACTTGCCAGCTTTTTGGCCTCTGCATCTGGGCTACCCAGAGCCCCAAATGCAGTACATCAGAGCAGCCAGGGAGCACCTACCACAGCCACACTGAACCTGGGTGGAAAACGCTGGTTCCGGTTCCCACCTCCAGGAACTGTTTTTAGTTCACACCACCAGCAATTCCGAGTACTTCCATGTACCACTTTATAAAAAAGCAGATGGGCAAAGTCTGAGTCATGAGAAGTCCATTTTGTGATGCTACTAAAGAAAAAAAACATGACCTAAATGTTTCTTCTACTGCAGGTTTCCCACTGGCTGTAAGGGGAGAAGATGTGACAAGAGATGAAATGTACGCAAGGTACCGTCACCCAAGTTCCGGACCTCATGCAAAGTGTGGATTAGATTTAATTTCCTACCAGCAGTGGAGGTTTGCAGAATTTAAGCAACTCACCAGGTCAAAAAGATGCACAGTGGCCTTCCAGTCGTTCTCCTCTTCACTGTTTTTATTTTACTGTGTTTGAAGGCAGAGATGTACTAGAACCCATCACAGGTAGATCCTAAATCCACTCCTTGCCTTGCTGCAAGGAGTCTGTAGCCCGGACTTTGCGTTTTTGCCCATCTGGAACCGTACCCACAGAGGCACAATGCGCGCGAGCACCTCCCCACCTTTGTGAGTCTGGGCCTTGACTTGGTCCAGTGGGGTATGAATGTCGGCCTTGCGCAAACCGTCCATGTCTGTAACAGCTATTATTCATGAAATGCAACAGTTACTTTCTGGTATTTTGTGGTGTTCTAACTCCCTAGGATATTATTTCCGTGATCGCTGTTGGTAGATAATAGATGAAATTGTTAAAAGTACTATTTTAAGAAGTAATATAGTACATCTGTAGGCAATTATATAGAAGTACAAATGTTAGGCCACAGAAATGTCCTTGAACACAATACAAGGAACTTTGATACTCTAAAATAAATCACATTAAGAAAGTGATGTGTTCTGTTTCATTTTTATCCTGTCACCCAGAGATTATGTAGATCATTCTTAACACTCAGTAGTCAAGGATAATACTAATAATTCCCAAAGAGACCATAATATTTTTTTTTCACTAGAGAAATTGAGACAGTAAGCCAAAACAAAATTCACCTATACCAAAGTTTGAAAAAAAAAAAAAAAAAAAAGACAGTAATTAAGAGTAATTTAGAATATCATTACATATCTTTATCAGTCCTGTAGTGCAAAGATTTGTACTTGTTTTTCAAATGTAAAATTTATTGCCATAAATGGATGATCTGCATGGAAGACAACAAAAGTGAAGTGTTGACACTGTGTACTCTGACAGTATACTCTTGCTGACATAAGCAAGGGGTTGAAAAATGGTCACCAGAAGCATTTTAAACTTAAAATAAACCCAAAGGACTTGGATTCTGTTGAACTGTGGAACAGCGAACGCAGTAACATATGACCATACTGTTTTCCACATCTGCAAAGCAGGATCTCATCTTCTGACAAACAACAAAACTCGACTACAGCCTCAAGCTGCAGAAACTACCCGGAGACCGCTGACTCTTGGATCACATCCCACGGCAGCAAGGCAGGAAGACTTCAGTCTCTTGCAGTGTGACTTCCAGTCTCTGCACCTGGTTCAAAGCCCAGCTGGTTCGGGGGATCTCCTGTCTTGAGCAGGTTGTTTGCACCGGAGAGGTGTGAAAGGAGAAGCACAACTTTTGACCTACGTACAGCCCACCTCACTGTTTTGAAAAGCTGGCCGCTGCAGAAAACTCTCCAGAAACCACACTCCCTTTTCAGTGAGTAAGAGGTTAGGCCCATTTTTAGCAGGGATACGAATACCCACTCCATGGGACACAGGCAGACATTCCTTTACTTCAGTTTAGGAGTCACTCCTGTTGCTGAAAAAGGCTATTGAGAAGGTAAATGCATTCCAGAAGTAATTCCAAATATGTAACTTTTCTGTCTTTTTATGATTCTTAACACCATTAGTAGAGAGTAGCAGCGTAGGAACGGGGACATGTACGTACAGAAGCATTTCAGCAGCAGCATTCTTGCGGATGTGTAATAAATTACTAGATACAAAACAATAACGTTGCCAGAGCAGTTTGAGTAATGAGTAAGTAAATCCTCACTTCTATCGTAATTTACCAATTCAACACCAGTACTGCAGACAAAAGGGTAAATTGGTATCAGATGAAATTCCAAGGAATTGTATTATATTAAGAATTAATCAAGATGAAGAGGAGCCTAGCGGCTTCACCAGCAAAACATGTCAGCATCTGCCAGAAAGAAACCACCTGCTGCTATTAAGAAATCAGTCTGAAAATGCCAACCTCTTCAAGACAAATTTGGTTTTATTTTTAAGCCACTGAAAGTTAACTGGCTAACATACAGCTAGTATTCAGATTTTCCGTTGTGTAATTGCTTAGAACAAGCCAAAGACAAAAAAGAAAACACAAACAAAAATTCTTGGAGAACACTGTAAAAAGCAGCAATGTATTACATGAACACCAGTTTAGCATCTCTGCTGGAATCACTGGCTATAGGAGATCAACTCCCCTTTTTGCTTTTTCAGCTTCAGTTTTTTGAGTCAAGGTTAAGAAAGGAAATAAAAAGGAAGTCTTTGTATTTCTAATTCCAAAGTTTAAAAAAATGACAATATCAAGTCTATCAATCTTCACAGCTTTCATTCAGTTTTATAAAAAAATATAGTATTTTATATATCCATAAATATAATACAGACGCCAAAACATACACCTACAGTTCTGCTTCAGTAATATCCTCATCAGGGCAACAATAGTATTCCACAAAACAGATCTGGCCATCTTCATTCCTAATCATATACTGCAGTGAAAGAAATCCTTGAGCATGTTCGAATGGTTGTGCAGACAGGAGCTGAAACATTACTCCCAATTAAAGCCACAGAATAAGTTAGCAACGTGCTAATTTGCTCTTTTCCTGGTAACAACACCAGACAGACATTGTTATCACTTAGCTTTTGATCACAGACACAGACTTTTATCAGATGGGAAGTATTTTTTTTTCCCCGTACTAGTGAAATAAAGTTACAGTAATGCAAAAACAGGTTTTTAAACTTTCCAGCAAGAATGCATGACCTGCCACAGAGGGCACTGATCACAGACTTCCTAACCTGTTTGTCTGGGTCTGGTTACAGTGGAATGCTTCCATCAAATCAGAGTCCCTAGGGTAGTCCAGATGTGCACTTCCTGCATTTCCAAAAGTGGATAACCTGGAAGACAAACGGCGCCACCTCAAAATAACTGATCACAGCTCTCTAAAAAAACTCAGTCAGTCATCTTGCAGATCTCAATGGCTGTTTCACAAAACACTATTGTTTGTTTTGCCTTATTTAATTAAAAACGCTAAACTGTCCACATGAGTGTCACTTACACCAGGTTGTCAATATATTAATTACTATGTTAATTAGACTGCATATTGTGATTAGCTATACTTATTACAATTCTTCTTGAAATAAAGCAATATTCTAAAACAGCTCCCCCCTCTTCACCCTGAAAACTTCTAGTCCTTACCAACAGAGGCCAAGCATCAACATTTGAGTTGAAAGCATGGTTTCCCGTACCTGAAGTAGGGTTTATCTGGAGACATGGTAATCTGCAGAACTTCACTGGTCATATCCAGTTCAGCAAATGCTTCTCGTAGCCCCTCCGACTGCAGGATAATTTTATTAACAACTTTTGTACTGCAGAAATCAAAGTCTAACAACTCATCAGGCTCTTGAGTGTTAATTTTGCACACTGTCACTACTCCTCCTTCTTCCAAGAACAGCATCAAGGGATAACCATAACCACGATAACACATCCTAAGGGCTGTTGATATTCCTGAAAAAGAGAATGAAGTATACGTTCTTCAGAGACCTAGCATCCATCAGCTCCTTTCTTCTCTCCATCACAGCACACACTTGTATTACCTTAAGTAAACAGGATGGATCCTGCTTAACAGCGATAGCTGCCATGCTCAGAAGGACTTAAGGTGAGGAAGTCAGAAGTTGTGCCAAGACTGGAAATCTCCCTATAGCTATGTACAGGTTTCGCTATGTGGTTACATGTGACACACATACACTGTCAAGGTAACTGTGCACCATACCTGGCAAAGAACTGGTACCAAAAATGGTCAAGCAGTCGAGAAGAACAGACAAATTGATCCGGAACGTCACCGATTCCTCCTGAACAGCAAATTCCTGAAAAATTTCTGCCTATAAGAGAAAGGAAAGAGATGAATAGAGGGGAGTTTCTGTGATTATTTTACAGTTTACACTCACTTCCTTAAATTCAGCGCTTCAGAGATCAGTCCAATAAAAAGTGATTTCTACATGTAACACAATATCGATTAAAGAAAAAATGGGTCTTCACCCTCAAAACTAGTAAAATCAAATTAGGCAACAGTTGAAACAAAGTAGCATGGTATAAGCATGAAAACCTAAACACTTGTCTTTTACAGTTTAAAAACAACCTACAAATGTTAAAGCCTAAAGCTGCCTACTTCGGAGCTGGAAACATTCAGGGAACTATAAAATGGAAGTGTCACCCTTCTCCAGGAAAAATATTTATTTACTTTTCTTCACTTGGAGTATGAAAAATCATTTCAAATAATAAAAATATGTAAGCACAGAACAGTGAGTTCACCACATTCAAACATGTGCAGAAACATGCCTCTGACTAGTCTGATGGGAGTAAACTACTCCAGGCTAACACCTGTTTGCTGCTGGGCCCTAGCTGCTTTGTGGTAACCACAAGAACACAATATCTCAGGAATAAAGCAGGGTGATGTGAGCTGTGTTTGAAAAAGCAGTTATGGATTTTTATTGGCAGCCCAGAGGGCAAACCGCATCTGGGGTGCACCAAGCACAGCACGGCCGGCTGGTCAAAAGAGGGGATCGTCCCGCTGTATTCAGCGTTGGTGCAGCCTCACCTTGGGCCCCGCAGCTCGGGGCCCCGCCATTTACGAAGGATGTGAAGATCCTTGAATGCCGCCAGAGGAGGGCAACAAAGCTGGTGCAAGGGCTGGAGGGCATGTCCTGTGAGGAGCGGCTAAGGGCTCTGGGCTTGTCTGGTTTGGAGAAAAGGAGGCTGAGGGGTGACCCCATTGCTCTCTGCAGGTTCCTGAGGAGGGGAAGGGCAGAGGGAGGTGCTGAGCTCTTCTCCCTGGCATCCAGTGACCGGACGCGTGGGAATGGTTCAAAGCTGTGCCAGGGGAGGTTTTGACTGGACTTTAGAAAGCATTTCTTTATGGAGAGGGTGGTCAAACCCTGGAACAGGCTTCCTAGAGAGGTGGTCCATGCCCCAAGCCTGTCAGTGTTTAAGAGGCATTTGGACAATGCCCTTAACAACATGCTTTAACTTTTGGCCAGCCCTGAACTGGTCAGGCAGTTGGAGTAGATGACCATTGTAGGTCCCTTCCAACTGGAACTATTCTATTCTATACTTAACAGCTCAACACTCTCAAAGGAACCTCCAGTCACTGTTCTCTGCTTCTGCCCACATGTGCCCACGGCGTAACTTCCACTAGCACGTGCTGGCCACTTCATGAGCCAGCTTAACTCACTGAAATAGCAGAAAGCTAACCAAACAAATACAGAAGTAGTGTAAAGAAGGACAGTGCAGCAAGGGGCGGGAGAAAACAAGGGGAGATGCAGGAACAGGGAGGCTCAGGCTTCTCCCCCTTCACACACCACTCAGGCTGCAGCTTCACAGATAGTAAAGACACAGACTCCAAAGGACAGAAGAAAGGTGAAGCTAGGTTTGAGTTACTATCATAAAATACTCCTCACCCCTTCCATTTACATCCCCAGTATCATACATGCTTTCAAAAACAGGAACCAGCATGATGCCTGTTCTTATGAAGAAAACCATTTACAAATTAGATATGCATTAAAGAAATAAAAACAAACAAACAAACACTCAGAAAGTAAACCACTGTGAAAAGGAGAGAAAATTAAAAGTGCACCTTAAAAATAAAAGTTAAGCAAAGCCAGCAGTCACAGCTACCAAAGAGGTAGCAGAAAAGCAAGCAAGGCTGCTTTGATCTTATATTAAATGCAAGTTAAAAAGAAATAATTTAGATTGCTGTTTAAAGCTGCCTATACGGACAGTTCAGGGTAGCTGAGATCCTCTGTCTACGCCTAACCTCTCAAGCGCCCTTTCTGGACACAGCTCAGCACAGGCAGAATCAGAGAGCGAACAGGGCCAACAACAGCTCCAGTCTTGTGATGAAGCACCCGCTTCAGCTGATACACTGAAGATGCGTGTCTGCGAATTTGTACTCTCTTTCAGAGTTAACCTAAATTCACCTTTTTGGCTTTGGGATGAAACACAATAAAACCACTTAAAGATAGGCAGGTACTTTATGAACTTGCTCACGCGTCTAAGAAGGGGGCGGTGGGAAGGAGCAGTGGGCGTAGCCGGTGCCAACACATTAAACAGGGTGCAAGCCCACCACGCAAGCAGGCGTGCGTGAACAAAGCAGGCGCTGAGCTCGGCCCCTCGGCAGCAGGAACGCCTCAGCAGGGACCGCAGCCTCGCCACAGCGCTTCCTTCACCTCAGCTCCCGCCGCTGGGCCGCCACTTCAGCCAAG